ATCATTGTAAGGGGAGCAGGCTCCCTATGAAAATTGTAAATAAAACATTTTTTTTAATCTTATAAATAAACATTTTAAAATCTCAGGTTGTTTGCAGTTTGTGACGTGAGGGGAGGTTGGATTGTTGGTGCCAGATAACTCCACAAAGGGGCCTATTACACTATACTGTTGTAATGCTACTAGCATATATACCTGGAATTGGAGGGGCCACTATCTGTCTGGATTTTCCCTTCTCCAGCTCTGAGAAGGCTTGTTTCACAATGGCTCCATGGCAATGGTCTGGCAACAGTGGTCAGATTCTCTTTGTGGCGCTTTCTTTCCTTCCTCCATTTCCTTCATGCACCTTCTCCCTCTCTTTCTTTCTTTCCTTCCTTCCTTCTTCCCTTGCTTTACCTTACACACATCCTGCCAGTGTGATGTCTCTACTCTTCACTATTTTATTGAGAATGGTCATTGCTCTCCTTCCAAGGAGTAAGCATCTTCTCTTCTGATTTCCTGGCTGCAGTCTGCATCTGCAGTAATCTCTGCACCTAGAAATACAAAGTCTGTCACTGTTTCCACGTTTTCCCCCTCTAATTGCCAGTTATCAATCAGTCTGGCTGTCATAATTTTGGTTGTTTTTTTTTTCTCAAGAAATTTTATTAACTTATATATACTACAACGAAAGAGTGAGAACATTAGTGATATAGAAAAGAAGAGAAGAGGTAAAGATACATATAAAAGGGAAAAAAGAGAAAAAGAAAAAAATACAATATAAAAATACCCAACCACAAAAAAAAGGAAAAAAGAAAAAAATGACTTCCATTCCACCTTCTTGGCTATTATTTCCTTGTTATGAAAAAAAAAATGTATTTCTTAATAAAAAGAAAAGAGCAGTAACATTGTCTCTTGTGTCTTCTATTTGTTTAAATTTTCTAGATAGTCATGGAGATAGTCCCAGTTCGTTCTACTTATTATCTTGCCCGTATTTTTCTTTAACAAAAAAGTCAATTCATCCATATCCTTTATTTCTCTAATTTTCTCCACCCACTCTTCTATGGGTGGACTTAATTGTTGCTTCCATTCTCTTGAAAATGAACAAAATCTGGCTACCAGTATTAAAACTCTCTTAAATTACAACAGCACAACAACAGAGAGGAAACAAACAAGGACATCTAATCACCTCTCAACAAAAGTTTGCTCCAGGCACTGTCAGGCCATTATATGCTAATTAAGGTGGTCAGTTGAAACATTCACACCTAGCTCCAGCAGACAAGAGTCCTTTGTCCCACCCTGGTCATTCCACAGATATATAAACCCTTTTTCCTAGTTCCAACAGACCTCACTACCCTCTGAGGATGCTTGCCATAGATGCAGGCGAAACGTCAGGTCAGCAACTCTATTTATTTATTTATTTGGGGTTCTTTTACCCCGCCCTTCTCACCCCGAAGGGGACTCAGGGCGGCTTACAGAAGCAAGGCACAATTCGATGCCTGCAGTACAAAACAATCAAGACACAAAATTACACAATTACACAGTTACATCACACTAGTTCATGCATTATATCAATAAAATCAATAAAAAACCAATACAAACCCAATTCCTCTATTACATGGTCAGCGATCGCTAACTCATAGTTCAATGCCTCTAGACCATGGCCAATAACAACAACCCAATAACAGAAGTAGATGTTTTTCTTAAACTTCCTGCCTTTCTCTATTATCCAGGATGATTCAATAGGCCCCTTCCACGCGGCTGTATAAAATCCACACTGAAGTGGATTCTATGGCAGTGTGGCCTCAGATAACGCAGTTCAAAGCAGATATTGTGGATTATCTGCCTTGATATTCTGAGTTATATGTCTGTGTATTTATTTATTTATTTACGACATTTATATGCTGCCCTTCTAACCTTGAAAGGGCCTCAGAGCGGCTTACAAGATATATATACATACAATATATTATATTATTAGCATAGTACAATATCAGTATAAAATATTACTATATTGTACTATACCATTATATTGTAATATTATTAGTAATATTACATGTAATATAAAATATATAATTATAATATCATATCATTAGTATTAAAATATAAAATATATAATAATATCATATTATGAGTAGTATTATATTGCATTACATTATAATATAAATATTATATGTATATACAATATATTATATTACATATATTATACTTTACATATTACATATATACTTTAAGATCATCTGGGAAGGCCCTGCTCTCGGTCCCGCCTTTGTCACCAGTACGTCTGGTGGGGACAAGAGACAGGGCCTTCTCAGTGGTGGCCCGTTGGCTATGGAACACCCTCCCTAGGGAAATCAGATTGGCTTCTTCACTCCTAACATTTCAGAAAAAAACTCAAGACATGGCTATTCGAGCAAGCATTTGCAAATATTGAGTAAAGGACATAGGAATTGGAACAACTACACGATATGTGGACAATTTCAAAAGAAAGGAGGAAACCATGAAAATGAACAAAATCTGGCTACCAGTATTAAAAAACTCTAAAATTACAACAGCAAAACAACAGAGAGGAAACAATCAGGGACATCTAATCACCTCTCAACAAAAGATTGCCCCAGGCACTGCCAGGCCATCAAATGCTAATCAAGGTGGTCAGTTGAAACATTCACACCTAGCTCCAGCAGACAAAAGTCCTTTGTCCCACCCTGATCATTCCACAGATATATAAACCCTTTTTCCTAGTTCCAACAGACCTCACTACCTCTGAGGATGCTTGCCATAGATGCAGGTGAAACGTCAGGAGAGAATGCCTCTAGAACATGGCCATATAGCCCGAAAAAACCTACAACAACCCACTTTTAATGAGCATTTATTGATTTATGTTTTATTGCTATTGCTATTATTTTATTGATGTTAACATTTTTATATTGTACTTGTGTTTTTCGTGGCATTGAATTTTGCCTTGTAAGCCGCTTCGAGTCGCCAGAAGGCTGAGAGGGGCGGTATACAAATGACAGTAAACAAATAAATAAATAAATATGATTAGTATAGCACAGGAGACAAGGTGGAACTGTCCCCCCAGCCCTCTTCATTCAATGCCGCTTTGTATAGATCAGGGGTCCTCAAACTTTTTAAACAGAGGGCCAGGTCACAGTCCCTCAAACTGTGGGAGGGCCGGATTATAATTTGAAAAAAAAAAATGAATGAATTCCTATGCACACTGCACATATCTTATTTGTAGTGCAAAAACACTTAAAACAATACAATAATTAAAATGAACAATTTTAACAAATATAAACTTATTAGTATTTCAATGGGAAGTGTGGGCCTGCTTTTGGCTGATGAGATATGATTGTTGTTGTTGTTGTTGTTGTTGTGTGCTTTCAAGTCTTTCAGACTTAGGTTGACTCTGAGCGAGGGCCGGGTAAATGACCTTGGAGGGCCGCATCCGGCCCCTGGGCCTTAGTTTGAGAACATGGCCGTATAGCCCGAAAAAACCTACAACAACCCACTTTTAATGAGCATTTATTGATTTATGTTTTATTGCTATTGCTGTTATTTTATTGATGTTAACGTTTTTATATTGTACTTGTGTTTTTGGTGGCATTGAATTTTGCCTTGTAAGCCGCCTCGAGTTGCAAGAAGGCTGAGAGGGGCAGTATACAAATGACAGTAAATAAATAAATAGATAAATATTATTAGCATAGCACAGGAGGAACTGTCCCCCGACCCCCTTTCTCTTCACTCTGGCCCAACTGTGTAGAACAGGGGTCCTCAAACGAAGGCCCGGGGGCCGGATGCGGCCCTCCAAGGTCATTTACCCGGCCCTTGCTCAGGGTCAACCTAAGTCTGTAATGACTCAATAGCACACAACAACAATCCTATCCCATCAGCCAAAAGCAGACCCACACTTCCCATTTATTTATTTATTTATTATTTACTTTATTTGTATACCGCTCTTCTCAGCCCTTAGGCGACTCAGAGCGGTTTACAACAATTTAGGTATACACAATACAAAATCATTAAGCATTTAAAAGCAATAGCATCACAAATCATTAAACATCAATATCAATACATCACCTTACATCAATATAACAAATCCATCAGGTCTCGTCAATGAAATCAGAATCCAAACTCGTTATCCGATATTCCGTGTTCCGATAGTCAGTCAATCAATCACACTGCTTAGTCGAATGCCTGTTCAAACAGTCAGGTCAACAAAAGATTTTCCCAGGCTCAGCCAGGCCTTCAAATGCTAATGAAGGTGGACAGTTGAAACATTCACACCTAGCTCCAGCAGAGAAGAGCTCCTTGCCACCCCAGCCATTCCACAGATATATAAACCCATTGTCCTAATTCCAACAGACCTCACTACCTCTGAGGATGCTTGCCATAGATGCAGGCGAAACGTCAGGAGAAAAATGCCTCTAGAACATGGCCCTATAGCCCGAAAAAACCCACAAGAACCTAGTGTCTTTACTTTCCTCCGGAATGCCAGCAAGGAGGGGGTCAATCTAATATCTGCAGGAAGGGCGTTCCACAGCCGAGGGGCCACCACTGAGAAGGCCCTGTCTCTCGTCCCCGCCAGGCGTGCTTGTGAAGCCGGCGGGATCGAGAGCAGGGCCTCCCCAGACGATCTTAATGTCCTAACTGGTTCATAGGAGGAGACGCGTTCAGACAGGTAGGTCGGGCCAGAACCGTTTAGGGCTTTAAAGGCTAAAGCCAGCACTTTGAATTGTGCCCAGTAGCAAATTGGCAGCCAGTGGAGCTGGCGCAACAGAGGAGTGGTATGCTCCCTGAGTGTAGAAGGAAAGGCCATTAGATGAAAACATTGGAACAAAAGTTGACAGTAAGGTGTCCAGTTACTCTGCGAGGGAGGCCCCACGTACACTGCAAATACAATAGTGCAAGCTCAAGATTTCACATCACGTGACCATGGCAGTTAGGCGAGCACAGCACAGTGACCGTTGCCTGCGCATGCGTGCCTTTTGTGACGCTCGCGAGCGCAGCCCCGTTGCTAGGAAACGGGAAGGGGGCGTGGCCCTGTAACTGAACAGGAGGAGGAGAGGCCTCCCAGAAGGAGAGAAAGGAAGACCGTTTGCTTGCCGCTCGCGAGGGCAGTCAGCGTCATCAGCGCAGGCAGGTAGAGCGCGCGACAGCCCCGCCCCCTTTCACCTCCTCTATCCCTTAAGCCCCGCCTCTTCCGGCCGCCGAGCCAGCTTCCCCTTTAGGAGTCTCATGGCGGGTAGGAGAACCGGGGAGAGGAATGTGTGGTTGTCCAGATTGTGTTTTCACTATTTTATACTGCTTGTCAAGATGGGGAAACTATTGGGAGCAGAGGCTGAAAAGGTTATCTTTTTTTGGGCTGCAACACCTCGAATACTCCAGTCATTATGGCCTATAGTGTCATGCTTTGAAGTAGGCCCAAAAGGGCTGGAGTAGGCCTCAAAAGTAACTTTCCTAAGTGTTAGAACAGTCTGGTTGTATCTACACTAGGCATGGGCGAATGTGTGCTTGTCCAGATTGTGTTTTCACTATTTTATACTGCTTGTCAAGATGGGGAAACTATTGGGAGCAGAGGCTGAAAAGGTTATATATATTTTTTGGGTTGCAACACCTCGAATTCTCCAGTCATCATGGCCAGTAGTGTGGTGCTTTGAAGTAGGCCCAAAAGGGCTGGAGTAGGCCTCAAAAGTAACTTTCCTAAGTGTTAGAACAGTCTGGTTGTATCTACACTAGGCATGGGCCAACTTCAGCCCTCCCTCCAGGGGATTCCTAATGCCGCAACCCCTTGAGTTCCTATTATTGTGGTGACCCCCAATCATAAAACTATTTACGTTGCTACTTCATAATTGTGATTTTGCCACTGTTATGAATCGTAATGCCGATAGGCAGAATGTATTTTCATTCACTGGACTAAATTTGGCACAAATACCCAATACGCCCAAATTTGGGGGGTGTACGAACAGGTTTATACATGGGGATGTGGTTTGTTCAATAGTCTGGGCCTGGACCATTTAGGGCTTTATAGGTAATAACCAGCACTGTCATTATCTATCTTATCTATCAATCTATAATGTATACCCTGCTCCATCTCCCTGAAAGGACTTGGGGTGACTTACAATAGAAATAAATGCAATGAATATATATGCAAAGTAAAATAAACCAGCCCTAAACGGTTCCGGCCCTGCTTACCTGTCCAAACGCATCTCTTCCTATGAACCATCAAGGTCAATGGTTCTCAACCTGGGGTCCCCGGATGTTTTTGGCTTACAACTCTCAGAAATCCCAGCCAGTTTACCAGCTGTTAGGATTTCTGGGACTTGAAGGCCAAAAACATTTGGGGACCCTAGGTTGAGAACCACTGATCTAGGTCTCTAAGATCGTCTGGGGAGGCCCTGCTCTCAGTCCTGCCTCCTTCGCAGATGCGACTGGCGGGAACGAGAGACAGGGCCTTCTCAGCAGTAGGCTGAGAAAGGCGGTATATAAATATGGTAAATAAATAAATAATAACATGACAAATCAATAAAAACAAAATTTAAACAATAGGCAGTATAAAATAGTTATAACACAGTGATTCCTATAAGTCGAAATATATCCATATAACAAAGATCTCGTCCACATTAGGGGGTTTTAACTAATCATTGCCAAAGGCCTGTTTGGACAGCCAGGTCTTCAAATCTTTCTTTAAAGTTGTGAGGATTGTTGCTTGTCTAATCTCCCTGGGCAGGGCATTCCAAAGCTGGTTGAGAAGGCTCTCTCCCTTGTCCCCCACCAGCCTTGCTTGTGATGGGGGCAGGATCGAGAGGAGGACCTCCCCAGCTGATCTTAAGGCCCGAACTGGTTTCTTAAGGGGAGATGCGGTCGAGTCAATGGGCAGTAGTATTATATTTAATATATTAGTGTTATCATATTACAATATTATTATATATTATATGGTATTATTATTAGAATTATATTGTATTATAGATGTGGACTTATTTCTGCATTTCGGTTGGGTTGTCTATTTGTTTTTCTTTAGTTAATTGAATGTTTGCCATTTTTGTTGGAAACCGCCCTGAGTCCCCTTGTGGAGATAGGGCTGGATATAAAGAAAGTTTTATTATTACGATTTTAGTAGTAATGTTATTATATGCAATATATAATACACAATTATTATATTGTTATATATTATTATGTTTACTATATTATTATACAATGATATATATATATAATATTACCAGTATATTATACTATTAGTATTATATAATATATTGTACTATTATTACATTACAATGTTATTATTTCTATATATTATGTTGTATATATTGAGGGGCTCCCAAGTGATGTTGCAGAAGACACAATGGAGCTTTGTGGCCTCACTGTATACGTCATATAATGGCTAACAGATCCTTGGTGGTAGGATGTCATCTTTGAGTAACACCATTATATCTTCAGTCTCTATCGTTGGGCACACCCAAATAAAAGGGGTGTTGCGTGCTACGTTTCTTCTCTTCTAGTAACAAAAAAACATGTATAGTACACCTGTTGCTTTTTGCTATGAAGCAAATGCCAATAGTCAAATACCTTTTTTTCCTTGGGCCAAACATTCAGACATTATTTTGTAATGTCCTTATGTAATCCTTATCATGCTCACCTTTTGAATACAATTGGTTTAGTTTCACTAAACATGCATAGGCTTCACCTGTACACATAGGAAAGGGATAGGGACCACATTAGTATTTTGCATGGAGTTTATACTCTGCATGCACAGATTTCACTATCTACAGCATGAATATATATATTTTAAAAACCCAACCCCCTTAATTTTGCTATTTTATGTGAAGGACACCATTTTATTATACTACATTGTATATGATGGGATGTTGGTATCCATAGGTGGTGTCCAACCCCCTTAATTTTGCTATTTTATGTAAAGGACAGCATTTTATTATACTACATTGTATATAATGGGATATTATATGGGATATTATGGGATGTTGGTATCCATAGGTGGTACTGAAACCAATCCAAGTGGTTACTAAGGGCCCACTGTATTGTACACATATTCGTTTTTTGTATATGCTTTGCTTCATTTTAAGAGAAATTACAGGGCCCTGGAAGAATTAAACAAGAGTTCATTTCCCATATAAATAATTTCTATTTCACTGAGTCCCATTTGAAGGAAAGTGCCCCCTTAATGAGTCATTGCCTAGAGCACAATGGATCCCATATAAACACCCACCCAACTCTGCAAAGTACCTAGTAGCAGACAACATCTATGCTTGATATATAACGGCAGCAGCCTAATTGGTAGGTAGACACCTCCTCATTTCCAACTTAGAACATCATGGAATAAAAGGGATATACCACTCATGTCACTCTTCAGTAATGGAATGAGTCTTCTAGTACTGTGACTCATAGGACAGCCCTAGTATTTTTATAGCCTTAAGAAAAAGTACACCTCTTCTTTAACTTATCACATATATAACAGTTGATGTCATAGTTCCCTTAAAGATAAGTAATAAGTTTTACAAAGTTACTTTCCGGTCTTAAACTGTGCGTAACTAGATATCCAAACCAAGAAATAGAGGTGTACAGCTAGTCACACTTTCTAGGAGCTGCATTGAGTCCCTACAGTGGGAAACATGTAGCAACTGCAGTAAATTGTAGGGCTAATAATAAATTTTCTCTTTCAGCTTGAGACTTGTACATTGGAGCATCAACAACACCTAAGCATTATGAAGGAGCTGCGTGGCAATAATCCTGGGGACCGCCCCAAAAAGAAAGGTTCAGCCTCTAGGAAGGACAGTCGCACCCCAGCAGTACAGGCTTCAGATGACAGCGAACCTGGCAATATCTTAAATCCAACACTGTTGGCTCAGAAGCGACCTCTCCGCATTTCAAGCAGTATGAGAGGAGACGCTGTGGAAAACACTGATGATGCCAAAAGGCAAAAGCTCTTGCCTGAAGTGAGTTCCCCTGGTCAAGACTCGGATTATGAGGAGTCAGATGACAGTGATTATGTGAGAGGGGGGAGTGATGATGACAGCGATGGGTCAAGCTGTGAGGATGAGGATGATGAAGTTGGTAGCAATGCCTCGGAAAGTAGTAATGAAGACTCCAAAGGAAAAACAGGCCAGACTTCAAGAACTGATTTAACAAAAGGTAACCCCTGATGACTAGAAAAATCCAATAAATTGTGCATCTCTGTGACACTTATGAGCATTTCTGAGTTTTTTTCCCCCTCTGGTGGATTTTGCTTCTAATTAATCTTGGCTGTAATAGACATTAAGGTTCATTATGACTACTGTTCACTTGTGCCTCTGACACAGCTCTGTTTATTGCATAACTACCTGACATAACTACCTTACATCATCAGTTACATGAGGTTTCACACTGCCTCTGACACAGCTTTGAGGATGCCTTTTTTCTTCTTCTCGATCTGTCTGTCTATCCATTATGTTTTTGTATGTTCTCTGCAAAGATATTAAAGATGCTGGGTCAATGACCTGGATAGCCTTTAGTATATTCTTTAAATTAGACATCTTATTAGCATGCAGATATTTATGGCTCTTTTCTGTAGTTAAATGGAGTAAGGAGTTTAAGACTTGCAGATTTAAGGCAATGTAAATCTAAACATTTTGAATTGTCTGCCCAGTTTATTAATATGGCCTTGACTGTCCTTACAACAAGGAGTAGAACAAAGCAGCATCCCTCATTGTCAAATGCAGGAAAAGGAATGGAGTCTGTGAAAATAGTGACTTTCCTAAAATCATTGCTGAATATGTTAGTTGCTGAACAGTTATTTGATTTTAAAATTATCCAGTTTACAAACTTGCCATGACCAAAACCAACTCTTATTTCAGGCCAAGTGCATTGTACCATGGCTTCAGTGCATCCTTGGTTACAGTATTTAATATAAACAAATTCTAGAGGAATCTTGTTTTTAATTTTCTCATTATAGCAGGGAAATAGTCCAAAAGAGTTTCCCACATCAACTGAGTTATTTGAAGTTATTAGAGCTTGGAATTGCTTGTGTTGTTGAAAGACGATTATAATGAAAGGCAGCTAAGAATTTTTTTAAAGTTAGGACAATATTTATGTTAACCCAACAGTGAGTTAAAGAAGCCAAATAATCTTGATTTTTAAGTCCAAAGCATTATGCCAATGCTGAGATATTATATATTGGTAATGTATATATGTAAGCCACCTTGAGTCCCCTATGGGGTTGAGCAAGGCGGGCTTTCAATAGGGCACATAAATAAATAAATAAAGTTATTGAAATAACCATCTGAAATAATTTGCCACTGTTCCCTGCCTGAAATCTGTAGTGCTTATTGGTATCCCTCATCAGACAATGTTGCAAAGTGTAGAAAGATGAGGGAAATTGAATAGTAATATACAAATAACTTTGTGTGTATGTATATGAAAGACAGAGATAGAGAGCCATGCTGACTGTAGCAGTAGCAGATGAACTTTATAATAAATCAGCTTACTTGCTACATAAAAGCCAAGTTTGCCCCTTGGTAATTGTGCAGATCTCTCTCTCTCTCTCTCTCTCCCCCCCCCCCCTTGCTTTTTCTGAGATATGCTGGAAATTGACTGGAGTCCTAAATGTATGCTTCATTCAGCCTTCAGCCAAAACTACAGTTTTGCCTCTTCTACAGAATGAGCTCATTAGGGCATTGTGGAGCTGTCAGCAAGAAGCCGCCTGGAGCAGTAATAAAGGACAAACGATGCCACTCAAAACATGTTTTTCTGTTTCAAAAATATGCTTCCTAAATGCAGTAAGCAATGTGATATGATATTTGTAAATGTATTTGAGTTGGACTTCCTAAGGCAGCCTTTTAAGTTGGCATTGGGAGTCTTGCTTCAATGCACAAAACCAAGATTTGCTTGTAAGAATTAGACTATGATCAGATCTCTCAAAACTACACAGGCATGAAACCCAAGCCATCAGAACTGTGTCTGTTTTTCTTCAAAATGCATGGGATAGGCTGAAAAGATATGCAATTTTGATGTATTCAAATTATGTATGGTTGTTATTGTGGTTGCCATTGTTAGCCTCCCTTTTCACTTTTGTGAGATCACACAGCCATGATTTTACTGGCTTTGTGAAGGCCAGAAACATATTGAAATGATTACCAGGATTTGTTTTATGCTGATGTGCATCTAAGAGCTACATATCTAAGGAAAAAAATCGTTTATCTCAGAAATCTTAATTAAAAATGTTGAGAGTTGGCAGAACTGAGAGTAATACTTCTGCATGAATTAAAAATGGCTGATGTACCAAAAACAAGGCACAATTATAAATAGCAATATGGTTAATTGGGAAGGTGTCTAATGAGTTCAGCAGGGTGGTGGATTAGGTCTCATTTAGCATAATAAATGAATCTGGAAGAGGGGGCAAAGAGCGCTAATGAAATTCAAATATATGAATAGAAGGCAGTGAAGACATAATCAGCTGGCATACAAATAATAATCGAAGACTGTATGATGACATAAAACATGGTCACATACAATGATTCTTTTGAAGGGAATAAATCATTAAGAACAAATTAATTTTAAGTGCAGGTCAGGAGAAAATATGTACAGGGGGAAATTGTGTGGAGGAACTAGCGCAAAGCTGGTGATGCTTTTATAATCTCCTTCATGGCCATTCATCCTGCTAAATGCATATGGTCTTCATGGGGAATGTATTAGAGAAATTGCTGCTTAGTCATTCTAATGCAGCGGTTAGTATGAATTTAGAAATAATATACTACCACCAATGCTCATGATAACAAAAAGAAGAGGGGTAACTTCACAATCTAAAATTTGTCATGTCTGGTGATGAATGGACTAGAGCAATGTTTTTCAACCTGTGGGTCCCTGGGTGTTTTGGCCTACAATTCCCAGAAATCCCAGCCAGTTTACCAGCTGTTGGGATTTCTGGGAGTTGAAGGCCAAAACATCTGGGGACCCACAGGCTGAGAGTCACTGGGCTAGATAATAGTGGGAAGAAGATAGAAGAGTGGTCAAAAAGGAAGAAGTGTCCTTAAGCTTAGTTTTACTGGAGAGCAGAGAACATACCAAGACAGCATCTGGAGTTTACTCTATTTCATTTTCTCATTAGCTTCAGTAGAGAACTAAGGACTTGTGCTGAAGGATTCATAGACAATATGGTTGTTATAGGGGAATTTGAAAGAAGGGAGAGCTATGGAAGACAGGAGCAGCAAGAAATGGTAGAAAGCATGTGAACAGAAGACCATTTGAGAACAAAAGTTGATGGAGGAGTAAAACGTCCGAAGGTCTAAAAAGTAATTATACTAGAGATGGGGATTATCATCCTCTCCTTTGTTTGCACCCTCTTTCCCCCTGAAATTATCACATAAGACAGCTTTCGAATTAAAACAAGGAAAATATAGTTAAAACCTACAAAATGCAAAGTTAAAATTAAGCAAACTAAAAACACTTTTAAAGTATAAAATTTAAAAGGTCATAAAGTAGTTTAATAAATGGTTCCATTAACAGGCAAATGCTTTATTATGACAGGCTTTTCAGAATGGAAAGAAAGAGCTTTGAAGCATGTGCCCTTTCTTTCCATTCTGAAAAGCCTGTCATAATAAAGCATTTACCTGTTGATGGAAGGATAGCAAAGAGGAGTAACCATCAAGAAGGTTCTATTGTGCATCTTTGACTGTTGGCCAGTTTGTATGAGCACTTTCCCTTAAATTTTGATGAGTTTGAGGATCCATGAAACTTGGACTGGCTGCCCAGGTTTGCAACCTTGTTCACTGTTTGCATATATTGAATCATAAAATCTTAAAAGAGTTGGAAAGGACTGCAGGAGCTAATCCAATTGCCTGCTACCTAAGAATACACAGCTAAAACATTCTTGAGCAATACCTCTCCAAACTCTCTTTAAAGGTCTCAAAAGAAAGTGAGTCTACTACCCTCCAAAACAGTTTATTTTATTTTCAAATAGGTTATCATCAAGAAGTTATTTCTAATGTTTAGGTGAAATCTCATTTCTTGTAATTTAAATCCAGTACTTAGGATTCTAATCTCAGGAGCAGTAGAAAAAAAAGTTTTGTCTTGCATCATCTTAGTAATCTGATAGCAGCTTACATTATAAACAACAACAACAATAACAACAGTAACATTTTATTTATATTCCACTCTTCTCCCAGAGGGGACTCAGAGCAGATTACAGCATATAAACAAACACAGGCAAACATTCAATGCCTTGTTACGGTGAAATACAATAAAACACAAGCAACACAGACAGAGGCAAAGGCTCCTCTCTTCATTTCCAGCTCTGGAGGCAGGGCTCAACTCCAGCTCTTGGGGGAGGTGCTCCTTTCCATTTTCAAGACCTGGTCATGTGGCTGGCATGACTGCATGGAGCCTCTTTTGCCTTTCCCACTGAAGCGGTACCTATTGATCTACTCACATTTGCATGTCTTCAAACTGCTAGGTTGACAGGAGCTAGGGCTAATAGTGGGAAATCAACCCCATCCTGCAGATTTGAATTGCCAACCGTCAGGTCAACAGTTCAGCAGAACAAGGGTTTAACCCATTGTGCCACCCATGCCCTCCTTTGTGAGTGGATTAACAATTAACTGTTCGTTAATGGGATCAGAACAAGAATTGAGGTTTTAGAAGTGAACTTCAGTGTCCATCTGTTTGACCCTGCATCCCTAACAAATACCCATCCATCCTCTGTTTAAAAATCCCCAATTAAAGAGAACCCATTACTCTCCAAGACAGTACCTTCCATTTTTGAATAGTTCTTACTATCACCAAGAAAATGAACGGTTTAGATGAAATCTCCTTTGTGTAGTTTGAGTGCATTGGTTTGGGTAGTCAGTAATAAAAACGTTGAATCTAAGACATATGCAGTAGGGTTTTGAATATCAGTAGCTTGCAGTTTTAATAAAAGATCTAAGAACAAAAAAGCCAGAGGAAAGGCCTTAGTTATCATGAGAGCTATAAAGAGAGTTTGGTGGTTTTAATAGCAGTTTTATTTTATGGTGGTTATGTAGTGTTTTAATACATGCCTGGCGCTACGGAGAGATTTCAGCCTACATTGGGCAAATAAGAGGAGAGAAGGCGTGGGATGAAGCTTAATAATACAAATAAAAATGAGTTATAGTGAATGAATTCAGCTCAGTAATTTGCAG